CTCAGACCTTTACTGATTTATTTATTAGTAGCTTATAAAGGTTTTTATGCAGCAGGATTACTGACTAATTTGTTACTTATTCTGTATATCGTTGTAAGTAACTCACTGATAAAAGAAGAAACTGTCAGTAATTACAAAAGAAATTTTTTCGTATTACTGATGAAAGCAGTTGTCAGTAGCTTATAAAGGTTTTTGCGCAGCAGGAATACTGACAAAAGGTGAAAAAAATCAGTAACAGGATGAGAGTGAAGGAATTATGTCGGACGTATGGCAAATTTCGTCGCAATCACTACTTGGCAGTGTTTCCCATTTGCCCACATAAGAATTTGGTTTCCATGAGCATAGTATTGCTACTTTTACGTTGCGATGTTACAGAGCACGGAGTAAAAGAATTGCACTCATTCGTGAGGCGCATCTAGTGGATTGCATTTCTTTCCCGTCCGTAGAGCATCATCTCAGCGTGTCTCGTGTGTCCGTATTCACTGACCCCTGCGAGCGACACCCCTCCCCCTCGCCTCCCCCTCAACCCTCTCGACACCGGCGCCACGCCCAGCCGCTGCGCCGCCCCTCCCGTCTTCGTTTCTTTACACCCCGGTGCTTTGCCACCTCCTTCTCAATTTCAAAATCGGACTCCCCGGGGCGCCCCCCAACCTCCCTCCTATCCGACCCACCCCTGCCCCCCACCCTAGGTCAGACCTTTCGGGGGCATTACTCAGCAAATAAGACGCGCAAAAGAGCGCCCGTTTTCCTTCGCGGCTCCGACGTCTCAGCGCCGCCGCGCGCCTGGTGGGTAGGCAACGGTGCGGCAGCAGTGCCTTACGGCTCTGCCTACCCAGCAGGGGGCTCGGCCTGGGGCGTAGGCAACCACGCGGCAGGCGTGTCGAGCGGCTATGCTTACCCAGCAGGGGGCTCGGCCTGAGGCGTAGGCAAGCAACTGGCAGGCGTGTCGGGCGGCTCTGCCTATCCAGCAGGGGGCTCGGCCTGAGGCATAGGCAACCACGCGGCAGGCGTGTCGGGCGGCTCTGCCTACCCAGCAGGGGGCTCGGCCTGGGGCGTAGGCAACCACGCGGCAGGCGTGTCGGGCGGCTCTGCCTACCCAGCAGGGGGCCCGGCCTGGGGCGTAGGCAACCACGCGGCAGGCGTGTCGGGCGGCTCTGCCTACCCAGCAGGGGGCTCGGCCTGGGGCGTAGGCAACCACGCGGCAGGCGTGTCGGGCGGCTCTGCCTACCCAGCAGGGGGCCCGGCCTGGGGCGTAGGCAACCACGTGGCAAGCGTGTCGAGCGGCTCTGCCTACCCAGCAGGGGGGCTCCTCTGAACTGGAGCACATCCCGCAAATCGTGTACCTACATCATCGACTGTATTTGTGCACTTGTAAGTGTAAGTGTTCAACAGGGTAGTTGTGCACTTGTAAGTGTTGAAGACGTCTGTTGAACACTGATCACTTGTGCGTTTGATACAAGTGTTCTGCAAAAAAGCGTTCAATTACAAGAGCTAACCGTTGAACATTTACGGGTGTTCAATCTGGCAGTGGCATCCCTTAGTGTGATTTACCTAATCTGACCTAATCAGCGTGCCCTGCGACAACACACTAAATTTATGTTTCTCGTTTGATTTTCTTCTAGAAAATGGCCTTCCGAGGAGACTACGGACGGCGTACACCAACACGCAGCTCCTGGAGCTGGAGAAGGAGTTCCACTTTAACAAGTACCTGTGCCGACCGAGGCGGATAGAGATCGCTGCCTCGCTGGACCTCACCGAGAGACAGGTAACGCACAGAGCTGCTCGTTAGTCGTGTGTGTATGTGTGTGCCGCCGCCGCCGCCGCCACCGCCTTGGTGACAGACATACAAACAGATTTTGACTGGCTACTGGACTAACTACTGAATCCCCTGGACTAACTAGCCACTGACTCCACTGGACTGACTATACTACTGACTCACTGACGAGCCAATTGAACCGGGCAGTAGTGACATGGAATGTGTCGGGCGGCCCCGTGTGTCCCCCGCCTCCCCTTGCCCCGCACCCTACCCACCCCACACCGCTCTGCCCCACCGCTGCCCGCCCAGCCGGACCTGACTCGGCACAAAACGGGGTAGAAAAGTCCCGGCCGGCGTGGCTGAGCGAAGCGGGCCTTTGGTGTTCCATTCAGGGGGCTAATCCATTAATGAATGAATCAGCCTTGCTACGCCACGCCACGCCGCGCTACCGTACTCCCGATTCTTGAATAAACACCTTTTTTTTATTTTTACTCTCTGTATCTCGCTCTCCGTCGCCCCTTGTTTGACTATCCCACCCCATTGACGCCCGCCGCCGCGGAGCTGAGCTGCGCTGCACTTCCTGTCGACAGTATAAAGTCTCTCTCTCTCTCTCTCTCTCTCTCTCTCTCTCTCTCTCTCTCTCTCTCTCTCTCTCTCTT